AGCTGTGCTGGAAGAGAAAGTCATGAGCTGTCTCCGAAACCCATTTAAGAATGTTTAAACACGGAGCCTTCTTTGTGAGTTGTGTTCCCCTGTATGGGGTGCATCTTCTGCACGTCAAAGAGCACAGGACCTGCTTACCCAGCACACGTTGGAGGCCACCCTGGGCTCGGCGCTCAGGCCCTCGATCAGACACTGCAGCAGGGGGGCGAGGTAAATGTCATTGATGGCAGCTTCGGGGAGCATCTCGCAGATCCTGCCCACCGTCCACGCGGTCGTGTCTCGGACCACGACACTGGGGTCCTTCATTAGTTCTATTAGAGTTGGCATAGCCTAGAACATAACGGCAACCAGCAGAAACGCGGGGTTATATTTAATACATGAAGTTGCCACTCTTTGATTGTTAATGTCTTCTCTGCGAGCTAGCAATTTTAATAAACAAAAAGGGAAAAAAAAACATCATATAGGTCTATTCAAACCATTGTGCCAACATCTGAAGATTCATCAAGTTACTTAACAGTGGATAAGACCTGAGAGTTGAAGCATGTGGAGCCAGGTATTCTGCAAGCCTGTACATTCTTGTGAGTGCAGCTCAACTATGTGCTCACAGCCCATAAAATCTACACCTATTTCAGCAAGTCAATGTAATTCATCACAGTAGCTCCCAGGACCCAAGCCCCTGCTTCCTACATCTGTCTAAACCATAATGATAAGAAAGGAATCCTTTTGCTTTTCCTCAGACTAAGAACAATGTGTAAAGTCAACCGTATACAAAGATGCTTATGCTCAAGTACGCCCAGGACATCCCTCAAGTAAACCAGGAAGTTTTTAACAGCCTCCAAGAAAGCACACTGAGCCTTACCTGTATGACTAGTGGTTTGAGCTGGTTGGGCTCTGGTCCTTCCAAAATGCACCCAAAAGCCATTACAGCTGCATCTCTGTACCGCCAATCTGGATTTTTAATGTGTTCTTTAATAAAGGGCAGCACATGAGGAACAATGTCATCTTCGCAGCAGGTTGCCAGGAGCATGAGGCAAACTCCTGCTGCTTTACATGGGTTCCAGTCGTCATCATCGTCATTTTCATCCTAGGAGGAAAAAAA